TATTGATCTTCACAAGAATGACTCTTAAAATACAAATAACCAAAACCATCTTGTACAAAATATACAGAACTTATAGACGGAATATAGAACCCATATTATATACAGGACCCTCCTGTATATTTTCTTTATGGACAGAATATACACGACCCTCCTGTATATTTTCTTTATGGATGGAATATACAGGACCCTACTGTATATTTTCTTTATAGACGGAATATACAGGACCCTCCTGTATTTTTTCTTTATAGGCAGAATATACAGGACCCTCCTGTATATTTTCTTTATAGAGAAAATTTATAGAACCCTCCTGTATATTTTTCTTTATAGACAGAATATAGAATCCATATTATATACAGGACCCTCTTGTATATTTTCTTTATAAATGGAATATACAGGATTCATCTTAAATACAAGACCCATATTATATACAGGACCCTCCTGTATATTTCTTTATAGACAGAATATACAGGACCCATATTATATACAGGACCCTCCTGTATATTTCTTTATAGACAGAATATACAGGACCCATATTATATACAGGACCCCTCTGTATATTTTTTCTTTATATACGGAATAAGGTACCATATTATATATAGAGGACCCTCCTGTATAATTTTTCTTTATAGATGGAATAAGGTCCTGTATTATATAGAGGACCCTCCTGTATATTGTCTTTATAGATGGAATATACAGGACCCATCTTGTATATGATGTTCATTCATCTTTTCAATTGTTTATGATTATATTTTAGCATTCAATTATTTGTTATATATTGTTATTCATTGTTACAAACATATGGTTGAATTCAATTGGCCAAAGAAAATTAATATTAAAGTAAATAAAATAGAAGCTCTATAGGGGACTTTGTTGCTTTGTAGAGGACTGCATTTATTTATTGGTACCATAAAATGTGCTTAAAGATTCACAAAGCTTTCTAGGTACAGAAAGAAGCAAGCAGGATAGTAATAGTTTTTAAATAAATTCGCAAAAATAAATTAATTGAAAACACTAAAATTAATCATCACGCATATGAATTAACAAGGGTTCTATTAAAAAACATGCAGATCATAGGTGCCACTTCCAAATCAGGAAGGTCCTGTATATAGGATCACCCTACTAAATAAATGAATTTTAAATGGTAACAAAATCAATTTGTTGCAACTTCATGTATGGCTTCAGCTAAATATTTAACATTTTTCAAAGAAATTCCAGTAATGGAAATACATCCATCTTTGGTTTAAATATATATGAAAATCAGCAGTAAGTCTTTCAACCTAAAAATAATAAATTTATCATTTAATAATTTAATTTTTTTTTAATGAAAATATTTTATTTTTATTTATAACAAACCTGCTCAGGTTTTAATCCAGTGTAACAAAACATTCCAATTTGATCAGTGAAAGTCATCAACATCACACATAGTAATAATTCGATTTGCCATAATTTTTCTTCTTCTAACCTTAAAATATGTATATAAGTAGATATATAATATCATTAATTAATCATTGATTGTTTATTGTCCTTCAACTTACCATTCTTTATTTAGTTCAGGATCATTCAGTACATAACTTGCAATTCTTGCACCATTTATTGGTGGATTAGAATACATGACCCTAATTAGTATTTTAAGTTGTGAATCAATTGCTGCCTTTTCTTTTGAACTTTCAGAAATAATTGAAAATGCACCAGCACATTCTCCATAAAGTCCCATATTTTTGGCAAATGATTGTGCTAAAGCTATCTGACGATCATCAATTATAAATTTACAAATAGCATAAGCATCTTTATCAGTGCCTCCTGATGTAAAACCTTGATAGCCATATCAAAAAATGGAAAATGTTCATGTTGCTATACATACATACATACATACATACATACAATTCAAACAAATAATTTTCTATATATGGGACATGCTGCAACAAAACCAGACAAAGTGAACATTGGTGTTACCAAAGATTTCAGGGATCAAAATCTAGTCATTTGTAATGTGATTACAATTAACAGTTTTATAATATTCCATTTATTATTTAAGTGATATATAGAATTACCTCTATATAAAAATAGTTAATATGAAACTCATTATATCAGATCTACTATGGGACCCAAAAATTACAGCACCATTAGAAGTATTTTGAAGAAAGAACAAGTTGAAAAAATTGCCCCATATATTTTAAAATAAATGATACTCAAACACTGAAAGGTTATCTAAGGAAAGAGAAAATTGTCTATGAAATTTACCAACATTATATTAACATTAAACTTTACCATTTTTTAGAACATCTACAATTTTATCATCCGAATTATATATTCTTTTTAAAAACAATCAACATCTCCTTTTCTATATCTCCTTTTATAGTAGCAATAATTCTTACAAGCTGCCTTATAAACTTCACCAAAACAGCCTTTAGCTAAATATTCAATATCACTAAATTTGTCAAACAGAATCCATAAAATACATTTACAATAATGCTCTGGATTTGGATTATGCTTGTAATAACTATTCCTTCATTTACACATTTTTTTGACTTCTTTTTCATTGTAACAGACTTTATACAAAATCTCCTTATTTAACTTATTATATGTTCTGGATAATTCATTGTTTAATTTATTGATCATGAAGGACTCTTGACGCTTTCTTTTTTCCACTTTATCTAACTCGGATAAGTAATATTCTATTACAATTACCAATTTACGAAATTCATCAGGATCATTTCCTTTTATTTGTTACAATTTCCTAATATTTTTAATGTTTCAAGTGTTTTGTTTGATAATTCAATAATTTTAACTGACAAGTCATATTTATTGATAGATTCATTTAATGTGTTGTGTAATTTATTCTTGAGAATCCATCTTTGAAATTTTTTTTTTTTTTTTTGTGGGAAGAAAAAAAAAATATATATATATTCTGTAAGATGAAAAGTGAATAATAAATAATATTTAAAACTGGCAGTGTTATCTAAGGAATTATTAAATTTACGCAAGGCTAGGAATTATGCAGTTTTGTCCAATGATGACAATTACTATCGGTGATGAGCTTTAGTAATACCCTGTGGTTTCTGGCCTGCTCTGATTATTTATTTATATAATAATAGTAATAATAAAAGACAGTCTATGCACTAAAAAAAAAAAAAGGAAACACTGCATGTATGGATGGAACTAATATAAATTGTATATATATTTTAAATGTTATATCAAATATCAAACATATTTTTATTCAAAAATTTGAATCATAATTAACAAGTTCAAGGAATACATATCATAAATTCTTTCAACATCACATAATTTCATGAATTTGTAATGATGCATACTTATTTGATCACAGTATACTAAAACATAGCTAAAAAGACAACGCAAACTACCTTTATTATTTTCAATAACGCATTCAATCATTGATAAACCAATACATAACTAAATACATATTCATATTTTAAATTTTATGATTTCAAGTTAATGAATTTCCCATTATCTGTTATGATTTTTTTGCTTTTGGGGTCCACCAAGGTTTATGAATATATTTGTATTTACAATGAGTAGGTTTGGCTGTATCAACTATATCATCATCTTCACTAAAAATATCATCAAAGTCATGATGTGTTGTTTCTAGATTTTCTATAGTCTTGCACGTTTTTTTACACATATCCTACACATGTTAAAACAAATTAGCGATACAAATTTTTCTTATGACAGGAATGGAATCATAAACTTACCATAACTGACTTGATGACATTGATGGAAGTCTTCAGTTTTCTAATATCTCAAAGTCTTGTAGGTAATTCAAATTTGGGTCCAGGAAAAATGACATAAAAGTTTTCCACCAGATCTTCAATTAACAATTGTCCACTTGTGCCACCAAACTGCAAAAAAGGCACTTGGATGTCTCTAACTTGTTCATCATTGAAATTATATTTTAGTAATCCATTTAAAATTGATTGATTTATTCGAGTGGAATGGCATCTATCACCAATAGTCTTGGTCACTACAGCTCTTACAGAAAACTCCCATTCACCAATATCAACTCCTGACATTGATATGAAGCAGACATCACATTTACATCCATTGGTATAATTCGTACTTTTACTTAATGGGCAAAAAGACTCCCCCTTTAAATGTGCATAAATTTAAATTGTTGAAATGGTTATATTGTACAAATCACAAACAAACCAAATAATACCTATACCAACCATCTCAAATATATTTTAAGATTTTTTCTCAGTCCCTCAACAATATATGTACAGGTTTTTAAAATTACATCAACTTCTGTGTGTATATTATTCAGATCAAAATCCAAAATATCCACTTGGTCCTTGCTTTTGTAAATGCTGTATGTATATATACATTGAATAATAAGAATTAGATTTGCAAAAAAAAATAAAGATCAGGTATAATCAAATAACTCACAAGTCACTGTATATCTTGCTGATCCTATATAAATAGCTATTTTCTTCTGACTTAATATGAGTTTATATACAGTGTTTATATGCCTGATCTACTTTCCCTTCATGTACTCTTCCATATTGTGTTGAATCAAAAGTCCATGTCATTTCTTTTGACAATTTGTACTTCCAACTTATTGCCTTGAAGTACAGTTAGGGGGTGTTCTTCCACAATACAGTCAGGGATATTTCCATATCGGGATTCGATTCCAGAATAGTCTGCTGATCAATTCATTATATGTTACAAAC